ATAGGATGGTAGAACTGCGGAGAATATTCAGCCAGCCAATCCTGAACCTGCCTGACATCACAGGCTGCCTAAATACAAACAGATAAATAATACACTCTTAATGAAAAAATAAACCTTATCCATTTGCTCATTACTGTCCCAGTCAGTCATATACTCAAACAGATGCCTAATGTATTTAGCTGCAAATTATACCTAGAACACATTCCTTCTTCATTTGGTTAAATGGGATATACAATGTAAATATACAGAGCATTCAGTGTGCTGAGAAATCATGAGGGGTGTCATTGGACAGTTATTGCTGAAGAAAAGCAGATGACAAAGTAAACAATGTTATATTCATGAACATGAGACATTGATGCAAACCTCACCTTCAGTCTCTCTTCTAAGTTTTTAGGGATTGATAATATAACGTTAAAGGGGTAGTTACATTTACATTTCATCATTTAGCAGACGCTTTTATCCAAAGCGACTTACAAATGAGGACAATAGAAACAATCAAAATCAACAAAAGAGCAATAATATGTAAGTGCTGTGACAAGTCTCGGTTAGTCTAACGCAGAACACATAGCAAGGTTTTATATATATATATATATATATAATAAATAAAAAGAAACAAATATATAGAATAGAAAAAGAACAGAGAACGCTAGTGTTAGTTAGAGGATCATTTTTTAAATAAATATAAAACAAGTCGAAAAAATAGGAAAAGAATAGAGAACACTAGTGTTAGAGGGTCAATTTTTATAAATAGAAAGCAAGTAGATGGAATAGAAAAAGAATAGAGAATGCTAGTGATAGAGGGTTCTTTTAAAAAAAAAGAAAAAGAAAACAAGTAGTAGAATAGAAATAGAATAGAGAGTGCAAGTGTTAGAGGGTCAAGTGTAGATGGAAGAGATGTTTTTAGCCATTCACATATTAACATATTTGTTGTAATATGTATAAATTATTTTATAATTTTAATTATTATATATAATCATTATTGATCCTATAATGTGGATGGTAGATAATATATATAAATATATATGTATAGTTATATACATATTTCAAAATGCTGGTTGTTCTGTAATTTAGTGTAGGCCCTGTTAAATTAATATTGTTTTGCTTTTTTAATTTTAATAATGTTTTAAAATGTATTTTGCATTTCAATTTGTTTTAATATAACTAGTTTAATAGCTGACTATTTTCAGAAAAACACCTTTTCTGTGTCCTTAAAGGCTGTTTTGGGGGTTTCTATAAACGGCTTTAATGAAGCCCTTTTTGCACAATAGATTCATCACAATATGTTACTCTAGTATATCTTTTCACATTTTAAATGAAGAGCTGCGTGTTGCTGAGATTCAGCAGTTGTGCCCTTCCCCTGGGCACCGGGCGCATGTTTCACTGTCGTCTCCTGTGCCATACAAAGCTGTCGGAATTAGCCACGAAGCTGTGTGCCTATTGTCATCTCTGCTGATATCAGCTGCTGATGTAAGCAAGGACACCGCCTCAGGTGACCCACACTGAAACAAAGGGCCATGCACAAGGGGGAAGCCGTTGCTCATCAGCAGACTTATTGACGGACTTCTGCCTGAACCAGTAATGGGCTTAGCAGGCTTCCAGAGGCCCTCTGAAGATTGAGAGTTGGAGGACAGCTTGAAGATTGCAATGCTCATTTTGGATCAGTTCCCCCATATATTTTTTTTCTGTCCCTGGATAGTAGTAAATAACCAGGACAGCTCCCTTACGTCCCTCCTGCTTCCTCCATGTCTCCTCCCTTCTCAGCAAGAACATGCTCCAAACCATCTGCCTGATAGGAATCACAGCATGCAAGGAGTGATGGAAACCCTCCACTTTCCTCTTAATGTCAAATAATAACCTGAAGATATTATTGCTCATTTTGATTGTGTTTTATTCGTAGGCTCATGCTTCATCTCAGGACTCTCTGCTTGAACTGTTCGCCTCAAGTACTCGGTGCCCACTTTTAGAGGTGCTTGACAGTTCATGTATGATAATGTTTCAAATGTCTCCGCCCAACGGCGCAGTGGCTCAAGACTTATACAAAGGCTCGCTGTGCAGCAGTAAGTGTGGTGTTATTCAAGTCGTTCATTTTTTCTGATGGTGGAAACACCTTTTGAAGGACCTAATGTCAGCGGTATGCTGAGAAGTTTCTTTAGTGATTATGTTAAAGGCCTTGCTGTGCTTTTGTGCCAGATGAACGCCTTTAATGATGGAGAGAGTTTTTTATTTTGAGGACTAAAGTGCAGTCTAACACTAACACAGTGTGTTGATACAGGTCTCCTGACCGTCTAAAGGTTCTTTACCTAAAGGCCTAACAGCAGGGATTGCAAGTAAAGCGTGCTCTCTGCTCTCTCTAGTTCTTGGCTATATGAACACAGCTTTTATAGCATGGCTGATGCCTGTGAACCTTTCACAAACCTCCTCAAAATACATTCAGCAAATTTCAGAATTCAAAAATCTTTTTTGAATTCATGAATTGGAATTTAATTAGAAAGGCGAGGTGTGTTCATGTACACTAATGTTATCAATTTCAAACGAGGCTTTTCTCTTTTAAGCTGACTGAAATAAGATACAGTAAATGGATAAATAATTATGATGATGATGATGATGATTATAATAAATATTCATTTTCAGTGGAGGTTCTGTAAGTAGAGTGCTGCAAGTTTAATAATTTATTATTTTCAAATAGTTTATCTCAGTGATATTTAATATATTTTGTGTATTCATTTTAAATACTAAATACATTTAGAAAATGCTAAATGATGATATCCTATAATATAATAATTTTATCACTCATAATCACTTTAAAATTAGGCTTTTATCTTTTGAGAAGCGTTTGCTTTGATTCTGATTTGCAGTCTTCACAGTTTACTGTATATTGAAGACAGGCAGCAGAAAAAAATGATTTGCAATGACACAGGTCATTCCAGCCTCTGTAAGAATAATATTCAGTAAATGTTTATCACTCTATGAGTGCATTTCACTAAAAATCTGAGAATTTTCCAGTTTATTGGACATTCTGTAAATCTAGTCTGAGTTAGCAACATAAACCAGGGGGGTGGGGGGTGGATCTTACCTACCCCTGTCAGAAGTGCACTGCAAGTCGCATTGGATAAAAATAGCTTTCTAAATGGCAAACAATTAAAAACTAAAATGTTTCATCAAAATCATTCATACAGTAATTCATTTCTGTGTTTTCCTGCTCAGTGACATACTCATGTTTTAATCCAAAAAGCTCTCCATCCAAAAGCAACCAGCGCTCTTGATCTCCATCTTGTGATCCAATGAGCGTGCCTCACTCATCTACCTTTGCACAGGAAATGCTTGGTATTCTACGCATCATCTGCACCGCTTCTTTCCATCAATCTCTGATAAATATTGAGGAATACTCAACTGAACTTGAATCATCAAAGCAGCAAGTGGATTAGGACTAGATCCTATCTAATCGAGCCGAGAAACGCCAAGTTATACTTTAAGGGCAAAGTTTGTGTTGCCCTAACGGTGATTGACATCTCTAATGTTTCTTCCCATAACGAGCACCTCTGCATCACGGCTCTCCTGGTGTGTTTGAAGTACTCTCTGCCCTAAGGTGATGCACCAGGATAAGGGCTCACATTCCTCATGTTATGCGTTCACTTCCATATTTCAGTCAAGGCATTTCATCAACTCAAAGCAGAAAGGCAGTCTTGAATTCCTCTGTTATATCAGAGGAATTACCTGGAGCGGTAATGCAGGTTTACGCTGAGATATCAACATTTCAAAAAGGCAGAGGCCTTATGGTGCATTTTAATGACCAATTACGTACAATCGTTGCAAAGGCATTCAGTTGGCATTCATATACAATTCTACATCATATTCATTTGTCATATAGTAGTGATTTGGCTTAAAAGTCCATGTGATTTTAATGTTTACTTCTGGCAAAGGCAAGCATATGAAAAGGTAATTTTATGTTTTAGTTATTATTTATCGCTATATTGATCGAGGGTGCAGCAGTGATTGTCAGCACCATTTGAAAATGATCTACGTTTACAAAGCAGCACACACCAGCGATTCAAGCATGCCCAGTTTAGACATTTTATGATTCTTAAGAGCTGAATTTAGATCCCACCACAGAATCATATTCCTCTTCCTCAATGCCAGAAATTATCTTGCAATAGAGCTTCATAATCAGTTAAGCTAGCAAGCTAAGCTGTTAACTGAAAACACAAAATAACGCTAAATTTGAATATGACCAATTTTAGCTTTTGTAATATAATTCTGTTGTCATTTTTCAGTAATTGATTAGAAATGGTATGTATTTTGAACATAACAAAACATTGTAATTAAAGGGGAAAATATGATAATTAAATAAGGGAAATAACGTTCTTCTGTGGAACATGAAAGATTCTATTTTTAAGGATGTCTCATTTTATGTATTTTATTTTGTCCATACAATGATACGTTATGGGGTCCAGTGCAGTTTTGAACCCATTGGCTTTCATTTCATATACAAAAACATTTTTCTAAATATATTTTTGTGTGTTTTACATAAGAAAGAAAGTCATACAGGTTTGAAATAGCATGAGGTTGAATAAATGTTATTTTTTTGGATGAACTATCCCTATAATTACCACATTTTCAGGATAAAAAATATTTACTAATTCTAATCAGGCACTGAATAGAGTAGCCATCGAAATCTCAGTCTCAGCTATTGAAATGGTTTTGTTGAGGAAGGTGGATTGGAATCTGTGGGATTCTTTGTACCAAGTTATTTTTGACACTGATATAGTCTTAGCTGTGTGTGATGATGCCCTGTTTGTTTGATGTGCAGAACATTTGATATTGTCCTCTAGTCATTCTCTTGTGAGCTTGTTTCAAAGTGTTGGTCATTGTTGTAATTGTGTGTAAATGCTTGCTTATCAGTTCCATTTGTTTTTTCCCCCATTTCTCCTTTTTATGCATGCTGTTCCTCCTGTTTCCCTCCTCCTTCCTCCACACCGCACTTCCTCTCCTCGTGTGCTCAGACGCTGCGCCCAGCACTGAAGCCGCAGCTCACGGTTGGTACCTCTCCCTCCTTCTTCTGCCAGCACAGCATGGCATTCTCTGCATGCCAGCTGAGTACAGTACAGCACGTAACGGCGACATGCACGGGATGCAGGAATGAGACTAATGTGGATTTGCTGTATATGTGTCTGTCTGTCTGTCTGTCCGTCCGTATGTCACATTCTTTATTCCTATCGCCGTTCACCCGCGATGACCCACCCGTTCGCCACGGCACTCCTCTGGGAGTTTTAATCAGAGCATTCTCCGTGTAATTCCAGGCCACGTCTCACATCCACTCCTCCTGCATGAGCCCTTCTCGAGTCCTTGTTGGCATTTTTGACTTCTCACCTTTTCGAGTCCTCACACAGCTCCCAACAGACACTCGTAATCCACCCGCAATCATTTTTCATGAATTTAAATGACGTCCAAATGGCTGTTTTTGATTTCTGAGAAATGAACGGTGAGCCTTTTCTCTACATGACGCAGATGGCATTGTACTCCACCTTGGTGCGCCAGCTCCGCACTCAAATCACAGAACGGGGACCATTTGCATAGCTCACGGGCTTTATTGTGTTTTACAATATACCACGAAAGCGCTTTCTCAATTCATTAAGCCCTTTATCCTCGCTCTCAGTTTGCAGTGGCAGATGCTTGTGTAAATGTTTTAGATTTAGTATAAAGGCTTTTCGTGATACTGTGTAATTATTTCACCTGTGTCTTGTGAAACACCCTCTAATGATTTAATTAGCCATCATGTTGTGGCTCGCACCGGATCACACCTCAAAATTGACACTTTTCTGCACCCCCGGCCACCTCGCGAACCGATCGAGTCGTTTGTTTACATATATCTGCAACTTTCCATATGGAAAAGGTTAAACCAAAAACAAGCGGTAGAAGATCTAAAGGTTAGGGCTATTCTTTTGCATGTGCATAATTTGGACGTGCCTACAGAACGTGGTCAGGCTTGACTGTGTAGCAGAGCTATAATTGAGCTTTTGTACAGTTCACTGCATTTCTAAATACCATGTCACAAGGCCAATGTTAACCTTGTACAGTTATATCAGCCTGGCAGTGATGTATAACTGAATCACTGTACGCTTTCCAATAATCCAAAGCAGTTTTTGATCCTACAAAATGTTTTCGGTCATGGAGAGAGAACGCAAGGTGAACCCAGGGGGCTTTGTCTCATGAAACAAATTGGTTTTAAATGTAGTGCTTCTTATCTTTGTGTTCTCTAGATGTGACATGGAGCGTTTTTGGTCTGGCTTTTATGTTGTTGCGGAACGGTTAAAAGGGTTAGTCATCTCAATGCTTCCTGTCCTCTCTTTCATTATCGAAATGGACAGGAAATGCCTTGTTTGTAAAATGTCAAGCATGCTCATCCATGCTTTAATCCGACTGTACAATTGGTGTCCTGACCTGTTGCGAATATGTGTTTCTGCTAATGCCAAGATGCTTGTTTGTGTTGGAAACAGCATTCCGCACCCCGTGGTATAAATGCACGAGAATTAAGTCACATTGTTCCCGGGAATAAAGACGTCTAGTCTAGTCTAGCGCAGAGAGCAGCTCATGATGGCAGAGCAAAGCGTCTATGTTCCTCCTCAGAAGATCCTCTCATTTGCGTCTTGTCACACCTTGTGTGTTTTATGTGGTTAACTTTTGTAGCTGATGCACATACTCTGTTTACCATCTTATTTTCCTGGGTGTGCTACTCTCACTGTTCAGGAGATTTCTGTTCTCTCTGATAACAGTCTTTTTTACCCTCTCTGGTGTAGCCTAGCAACAAGCTGTTCAAGCAATAAGTGGGGTTTTCAGCAGAGGTTGAGGTAGGAGGCTGACATAGTGGGCAAGATTCCTTGCTAGAACAGAAAGCTACAGCAATGCCACAGAAAACAGTCTTATTTGTGTATTTTTATTGCATTCATTCAACCTTTTTATTGTCTTTTTGTCCACACACTATTTTGCAAAATAATCATTGGAAATCACCTTGCAATCTTTGCAAAATATGCACGGTCCCACTTTATATTAGGTGGCCTTAACTACTATGTACTTACATCAAAAATATATGTACAATGTACTTATTGCGTTCTTATTGGCAGGTTTGGTGGCATGGGTAGGTTTAAGGGTGGGTTCAGGTATAAGGAACGGTTCAACAATGTAATTAAATGACAGAAATTAATTACAGATGTAATTACATGTAGATATTTTTTTTAAATATAAGTACAATGTAAAAACATGTATGTACACAATAAGTGTATTGTATCAAATGAATAATTTAAATATAAATACATAGTAGTTAAGGCCACTTAATATAAATTGGGACCGTTATTAACTTTGAAAATAACTTTTGATTGTCTTATTGTGCACAAATTAGCAATATCACCTAGGTTTGGATAACATTTTTCAAGCCAATCGCCTGAACTATAAAGTTATAAACTGTAAAGATCCAGCTATGACATTATTAGTGAATATCGTTACATTAATACACGCATGTGTTTAATGTGATGTAACTGACCATGTGTATTTTTATTTTAAATATAGTGTTATTAAGTATTATTTCGTTCTGTTTGTCTTTTCATTTACACACACACACACACACATATATATATATATATATATTATTGTTGTTTGCTGCTGTTGCTATTATTCTTATTATAATCAATTAATTTCATAATGTAATAATGTATTAACAGCGTTAACCTGTTAACCCGCACCGGCCCGAAGGGTGTGTTTAGGCGTGTCTGTGCTTTTAATTACCTTTGTTTTAAAACAATATTCAATCAACTATCATAAACTATATATCATTTGACAGCTAAAACACTCAAGATCCATGTTCTGAGCTTGTTTTTTAAATCAATACACCAGAGAGGAAAGGGTTAACATAAATGCTGAAGGACCGGCCATT